GTGACGTGTGACCAAAAAAAAAAAAAAAAAAAAAAAAAAAAAAAAAAAAAATGGCTGACTCAGTCGTACTCGAGCAACAAACGGCTGTAAAGTTTTTCGTATATCTTGGAATTTCCTTTGCAGTAACATATAATAATTTGTACGAAGTTTATGAAGACAAAAGACTTGTCAGAAGTTCAATCATTAATTGGATTGATTGTTTTAGTGAAGGAAGGAAAATGGTTAAAAATGATGTTTGTTCTGTTGCCCAGTGAAAGCAAGCTGGGGAAAAGATGTGTCCTTAGTTGAGCAATCTGTTATGAAAGATCGCCAAGTTACAATTAGAAAATTAGTTGAATATCTTAACAATAATATAATAATTATTAAATCCCTAAAATATCGTTTACTTTAGACTTTAAACATATTAGATATGACAAAAAGAATTCGCACATGCTTTATCCACCTTGGATAAACGACACTTCCAAGACAGAGGACTCGGGTTTTGATGGTCACCATGCTCATTCTGGGAAAGGATATCCTTATCCACCCATCCTATTGCCGAGATTTAGCCATTTCTGACAAATGGACTGTTCTTGTTATAAAAAATAAATTTTATGGAAAGAAATATAAGACTCGGAAAAATCTTTAAGCTTCTTTGAACAGAACGCTACGGAGCATGTCACGTGACCGCCTGGATCACGTGATTCGCGAACTGGCAGAACTGTGGAAGTTGTGCATTAAAATCGGAGAGGACTACTTTAAAAAATAATGAACACTGAAATCTAATTTTATTTCTCTTATGGAAGCAATTCATTTAGTTCGCGAACTTTTTGATCACCCCTTGTAGTATTTAACATAAGAAAAAAAATGATGTCCATTTACCTCTACAAATTTCTGAAAAATATAAGATCAATATCCTACGCTCAAATGCATATGTTTTCCCTATGCGCCTTTTATCTGCAAATAAGAGAAAAAAATATTGTGAGATACTTTTTTTTATTTAAATTCTTAATGGTAGTTCTGTTTCTTTATAAAGACGAAATATTGTCACAAGGACGTTATCTGATAAGTCCAGATAAATATTTAACAGCATTTTTGGTCCAAGTTTATATCTTTATCTGCTTTTGTTTGATTTGCGACAAATAGGATAGGACATACTGAGGTCGTCATTCTTTTTTTTTTAGATTAGATGTAGTCTTTTTTTTTTTTTTTTTTTTTTTTTTTTTTTTTTTTTTTACAATTTAATGCAGACACAATATCAGAAATTATAAAGTGATAGATTGTTTCATTAACTACATTTATTTCATATCATATAAAAATGTAATTAATCCGGTAGTCATTTAACATAAATTGTTGTTGTAACTTTTGAAAGAAACTTATAATGTCTCTTAAGAAATATGTTTATTTGAGATGTTCTATCTCTAAGAGGAAATTCAATTTAACTTAATTTTATAAGCAATTCCTAAATATTTGAACAATCTTAGACACAAACATAAAATATCATATATTCTGAAATATGATAAAGGACATGAATTTGATGTAAAACACGAGATTTAAGGGAATTTCTTAATAAATCTGTATTTCTTTACGTTTATTTCATGAAATTTAAACTTAATTTATGATTGAAGGAACATCTACAGGTATTTTTAAACAAATTGTCTTGTGGCATCACGAAGAAACTCTCATATTTTGAGAAGATTTCATTTTTACTTCATTGGGTTATAAGCCAAAGAGTCAAACAATAGTAATGTAATTCATTACTTAGACTTTATTGTTCGATGGCAAGCAAAAATCACAAGATATTGTTCGAACCTCGCCCATAATTAAAATAACGTATCAAGAAATAGGCGTTCCTATAAATACAAAAAAAAAAAAGGGACTATTACAAATTTAACTTTCATGGAACTTGGTATCGATACAGTTAAACTATCCATTTTCTTACCAGAAGAGAAGTTTTCTGAGCTGAAGACAGCTTTGATATTCTTTTTTCTCGAAGCAAGGTGAGGCTAACAAAATGCAATAACTGGGAGGTTCCTTAACTTTTTTCTAACCATACCCGTTAGTAGAACATTAAAACTTCAGTGCTGTGCTACGGCATTCTTCTAAATTCTTTTAAGTGATTTTAAAATTGTTCAAACCAGAATTGAAAAAATAATGTAAAATGATAATCAAAAAGCCAATTTCTTTCTCATATACAAGAAAAGAAACTCAATCAAGGTTTAGATCTTATCACTTATATTCCTGCCACCATTTTGAAGCACAAAAACTATGATTTCTTTTGATTATGTATTTTAGAAAGTCTTTTTTGATGTAGTGATATTTTCTTTTTTCAAATAAGGGTTTTACTTATAAACATTCTGAACCTTTTTTATGCAATTGTCTATTCTATTGCCACTTCAGGGTTTTTAACTAGTATGTTCAGTATGATGATCTAAGTGAAAAATATGGTTAATTGATTTTTTTAAAAAAAAATTTCAATTTGTGGTCATTTTTTAAAATTCACCCATATACGTCTTATGTTCAGGAATGTGTAAATAAATATTCATTTATCTCATTTCATATCTTAAGAATAGGGTGGTCCGTAATGTAAGAGTTTTGTCAAAGTGAAATATGTAATATTGTGGTGATGTTCATTAAGCTGATTTTGCGAGAAAATTGTCCTTAATATTTAGTTATTCTGACTAAAAGGGTGTGTTGGTAAATAAAGATTTCTTGAATATTTATTATAAAAAAAAAAAAAAAAAAAAAAAAAAAAAAGCGCAAGGTTATCTACGACAAAAATTTGTACTAGAAGAATCTTAATAGAACATCAAAGTTTTTTTCGCCGCGTGAAAACTGTTATGAATTAAAATTCCCTAAACACCCAGTACAATTCTGTAACTAGTATACTGCTTATATTCATACTTTGTTTTGCTCCTCATAAAGCTAGAGTTGTGGGTGTCGCAAAATTTTATTACTATAATTTTTTGATTTTCCATGACATATAAGGTTTGAAATTACGCTTTTATTAGAACCATAATATCATCAGCTAAAAAAATAAAATGATTGATTGTATGTAGTTTTACATCCCGTATAAGAATTTTTCACTCACATAGAGAAACCATAGACTATATACCGGTGGAGGACTTTAAATTTAGACCTATATTTGGCACTCAGGTCCATGGAACAGTGAGGTTTTTTTTATCGTGCTAACACCTACCATCACAGGGCCTCGGTTTTTAAGGCATCATCAGAAAGTACCACAACTTTCACTTCAAAGTGCCGAGCGCCTGGCGAATGAACAGTTGCTACCTACTTTTTATCGGCTTAGGTCTGTCGTGGCCGGGACTTGAATCTACGACCTCCGGATCAAAAAAAAAAATTTTAACCCCCCCCCCCCCACACACACATTTATGTTCTAGATATGTATTAAATTAATCCGAAAATTATTGAGAACAATCATATTATTTACTTTAATCATTGTAAACATGCATCGAAAAATTTTGATAGGGTAACCATGAGATGCACGGGGATATAACAGTTAGGTTTATTCTATGTCCAAAGGTCATTGTAATTTTTATTTATGATCTATCTTTATCCACAAAATTGTTGATGGTACACAATTTCTAAGCTATTGGGTTATAGCAGTTTTCTAGCCTCAATATCTCCAGCATTATGTACTGATGCATAATCGTGAGTGATTGCTATTTAATGAAATAATGATATTTGATGAAATTTTGTTAGGAAATCTTTGTCAACTTTCTCTATTTCTTGTGATGAAATTTTAAAAAGGTAAAAATAAATGCTATTTATGCTCTATGTTTAAGCAGTGATTCTGAGTCAACATGAGATTCTATCCGTTCTGTCCGACTCTGAAAGTATTTACATTATTATTGTTTTCCAGAACTGTGTGGTTAACTATCTTCAAATAACTAGGTCAAATGCACCTGATATTTTTCTCTTCCATACGATCAAAACTACATTGCATGAATTAAAATTCGTATTGACTCAAAGTCAAAGAATCTTCGTTTCATGCCTTTCACTCTGTTTGTCGTGTTATATTGGCGATTAAAAATCAGTTATTGGGAATTGCTTTGGCCTGTCATTCAGTCCATCTCATTCTTTGTATTTTGAGAAAACACTTTCTTTCATATTGCGATATTTTCAACTTTCCAAATTTTCCTTGAGAAATATATACTGCAATAAAATAAGTTAAATTTCTTTAAGTACTCCTTTGCAGTGAAAGCTATAATACTTAAACATAGAAATAAAAACTGGGATTGAAAGAGGTTAAATTAAAGGAGGGGAATAATATGAGTATATTTATACTTTTACATTACTTGAGAAATTAAAGATGTTTGTAGCCTACTTCATACATGAGAAAAAACTTGCAAATGAATTCATATTTTATTTTACATGAACTGTTTTCATTTAAAATATTCAAAACATTAACTATTTACAAAAAGAGAATAAAACAAGAAGTCTGTAAGCGAATGCTCACTAGTAATACCCCCGCTCTGATGTGAATATACCCTCTCATGTTGACATCGAATTCATACAAAAATGAATCCCACCATTTGGCATGCCTAAACAAAGATTGTGCTAAAATTTCAAGCATCTGCGCTGAGTAGTTGCTGAGAAAATTGCGACGTAAATTTGGTACGGACAGACGCACGGATAAACAGGAAGTTGACATCGGATTTGAACAAAAATGAATCCCACCATATGGCATGCCTAAACAAAGATTGTGCTAAAATTTCAAGCATCTGTGATGAGTAGTTGCTGAGAAAACTGCGACGACAATTTGCTACGGACAGACAGACAGACACACAGACAGACAGACACACAAGGGTAAAACAGTATGCCATCCTCTCCTTCGGAGCGGGGGTATAATTAACGAGAAGAGTCGTTGTGTTGAAATTTTTTTCTGTTGTTAATATCTGTGGCATAATAATGTACTGCATCCATTAAATGTATTTTTAGAAAATCATATTTTGTCAAAAATCACTAGATCAACGTGCACAAAATCAAAATTTAAAAAAAAAAAAAAAAAAAAAATCTACAGAAAATGTAAATAGTAATATCTTTCAAATTATTTCCACATAATCATTATCCTGCTTATTAGCTACAGGATTTCTCCCGCTTCCTTCGATGTTCGGAACAGTATCATTGACGTAATGTTTCACATTTAATTCTGCTCCTCTTTCATGAATTGTATAATCATATACCGGCTGCGAAAACATAGAAACGCTGTACCTTGACCCTCTTTGATATTTTAATCTGAAAAATAATAACAAATAATGAGGGTCTGCGTTTTTTGTTTGTTAGTTTTTGTTTGTTTGTTTTTTTTTTTGTATTTTTTGGTTTTGTTTTGCATTTACATATTATATCGAAAAGTCGAAAAAATTATTTAAATAAATTTACGACCAAAGGTATATATATATATATATATATATATATATATATATATATATATATATATATATATATATATATATATATATATATATATATATATATATATATATATATATAGAAAGCACAAAGAAATTCACTTTTATAAGAATACCCACTTCCGCCCTAGTCCGAGTTGAACTCTCGACCTACGGAATCTGTCTCCTAGCAGTACAGGAACAGCGCGCTAGACCGCTCGGCTATCTGGGCAAGTCAAAAAACTTGCTTTCGATGCCGATGGAATTCTCGCGGCGCTGCTCTACACTACACGGTCATTGAGAATGGAAGTGAGATACAGTTATTTGGACATTAGTTTTATTACAGAATCGTTACCAATACACGTTGTAATGAAATTTTTTTTTTATTTTATAAAGCACATTTCACAACAACTCTTAAACTAACATAATTATATATCAATATTTCTTCACTTAGGGCAGTTATATATTAGTTTTCACCTTTAAATCTTATATATAACATTTTCATATTTTGTGAAGGTCAATACAGCTTTTCGATAAAATACGTAAATGCAAAAAACAAAACAAAACAAAAAATACAAACGAACAAACAAAAACAAAAAAAAACAAAAAAAAAAACAACAAAAAACAAATATATATATATATACATATATATATATATATATATATATATATATATATATATATATATATATATATATATATATATATATATATATATATATATATATATATATATATATATATATATATATATATATATATATATTATAATGTGTTTGTATCAAATATTAAATTTAAGAAGAAATTAAGAAATGAAGATAGATGATACCTCTTATAGACGAAGAGAACTGTCAAGATCAGTCCTACCCCTAGAAAAACTCCAAGGACAACGAATAATGTTTCTGCAATGGGATCCATTCCATCTGTTCCACTTGTTTCAGCTTCTTTTCCTAATACATATTTATAGTATTTAAAATGTCTTTCATTAAAACACTCATATTAATATAACAAACAAGGATCCCGGATTTTCAAAAAATTAAAAAAAAAAAAAAAAAAAAAAAAAAAAAAATTCCCCTTTTTAAATAAAATAACAATGTATTACCATTCAATTTAAGGTTCATAATTACTCTGTTAACTAATATTCAAGTTGCTATAAAAATTATGATTTTACAAAAGAAATACATTTCTTTTTAGTTAGTAGTTTAATTAGTAAAATGCAAACCGTTTTACAAAGCTTGTGGAGCAAAATTGAGCAAAAAAGACATTTCAACTTTACAAAATAAATGAAAAATCGAAATTTATCCCATTAAGAGTTACCTCTTTTATCAGAGTATCAATGATCTTTAATGCATTTTATTACAAGTTCATGATCTTAAATGCTTTTTAAAAATTGTTATGCTAACTGATCTTGAAATTGATGAAAGAAATGTTTCCCGTGACGCAAAAAGAGAAGATATCTGGCAATACGTCCCTTTTTCTACAACAATCCGGTGTTTTGGCATAAACACGTACTATCTCAAACATACATCCATTCAATAACTATAATCTGTTATTTCCTTGTTTATGCTTATCGTTCACCATTAAACCTTGCTTGAACACTAAGATCATCAAGACAAATGTTCTTTTACACCTAGCAATATATGTGAATATGTGCATTCTTTTTCTTACAAACTAGTATCATAGTTCTTGCAAAGAAAATAAAAACAACCAAGGTGAATAGAAAGAGAAAAGAATAGTATTTATCATCAAAGGTGAAAATAAAATGGAAAAATATCATTTCTCACCCCTCAAACTAAATTAAATAACTATATTGCAATTCTTAAAAAATAATCATTTATTCATAAGCATTTAATTGTATAATCCCTCAGCTTTGTTTCTGCGTATAATATATAAGCGAGGTTAAACCGAATGGAGAAAAGTCACTTGCGCATGCTCCAGAATGCTAGACAGGTCGCTTCTATGACAACTCGTCCTAAGGAAAATGCACACCCACCTTCAGGAACTCAATCATCGTCGGGACAACTCGCTACATACACAAACACAACACTCTCTTGCAATTTAAACGCAATGTTTACGTCTTTTAATCTGCATGATAGCAACAATTCTGAATACCATACGTATATATTTAGCTCCAAATCTTCTCTCATACATATATATCTGATTTATAATAAATAAAAAAATTCTACTTAAGATATGATTGATTGATTGATTGTATGTTGTTTTACATCCCATTTGAAATTCTTTCAGTCATATAGAGACGTCACTATATACCGGTGAAGGGCTTCAAATTTTGACCTTTATTCGGCACTCAAGGCCATTGAGCAGTGGGGGATATTTATCGTTCCAACGCCTGCCGTGACACGTGGCCTCGGTTTTTAAGGTCTCATCCGAAGGACCCGCAACTTTCACTTCAAAGTGCCCAGCGCATGGCGAAAGAGCAGTTGCTACCTATTTTTTATCGACTTAGGTCAGTTGCAGCCGAGATTCGAACTCACGACCTCCCGATCACGGAGCGAGCTCTCTACCGACTGAGCTACCGTGAACGTTGAGTTAAGCTATGTGCATGTATACATGTATCCGAGGTGTATGTATCCCATTCGTAGTCTTATTTTGTATCGAGATAATTTTCGAGGAAGAAATGAGCTGTTTACAATAAAGAGCATCGACCAGAGACGTCCGAAACGATTAATCTGACAAGAAAAAAGTCTTTCGAAGCGAACGATGTCATTTTAAAGTAGGTTAATGATTGATATATAAACAAAATACGAGCTTGAAGCGGGGGTGCCTGAAATTGAGGTAAAAATAAGTAGGGGTGCCCGGTGCCCCGTATACGAAACAAGTGCCTGTGGTATACATGAATAAAGTATAGTAGAAATATTTATATCAAACAATTAAGATTGGAAATGTTTATGTTACAAGCAAATTAGTTAGGCGATCTGGATAAAGAATAAGGGGGGGGGGTTATTTCGGGTGGGGTGGGGGTACTGCTAATTTTTTCAAAAAAGTTCACATCAATTGTGATACGTTAAATCCTGTTTAATAATCAAGTAATAAAATGGTCATGCCTGACGCACAAAATAGACAAATAAATCAACATTTTACATTAAGGCCGTGCTTTAATGAATTTAATTGAAAAAATGGCATGTTTCAAGATAACAGAAATTTATTTTATTGTACATATTTTCAATACAACATATAGCTTTTTTCAGATTTCTGTTAGAAAAGACATATGTGCACATGGTCCACGTAATGCGGTCCTTTTTTAAGGAGAGCAACTTGTTTTATACTGGACTTTTGCGAGAAGCGCTGACTTTTACAATCGACGGCTTACTTTTACACTAAGATAATATACGGAAGTTCTTTTGCGATATAAATATTAAGCTTTACAGTTAATTAATCGATAATAATGGGCCATTTCGAAGAACATATTGCGTTGTCTAGGAAGGAAAGGGCAGCCAGATACCCTACCCTCAACCCCCTCTCTTCCCACAATGACCAACTCTTGCTTATAGTTTTCTTTCCGGAATGTTTTTTCTTTATTATTTGATTCCTCCAGAAAATGAGATTGAAAGGAGATACTACCCTTCACGAATAAGATATTCTAAGTTATGTAATTCTGCCTCCCATCATATCATGCGTTGATTGCATACCGGTAAATCATGTTAGTGCCCTTAATACCATACCTATAACCACTATTAATGTTTTCTTGTCTATTATCAATTCCGTACCTCCGTGCATTAGGCAGGTTTAAATGTCAAAGTAAGCCGTCGACTGTAAAAGTCAGTGCTTCTCGCAAAAGTCCACTATTAACAGAAATTAAATTTCAGCTCGTGTGGTAGATATGTATCATACACTTTGAAAGTCATGATGTCCTAAACAGGTTTAATATATGCTTGCTATAAAAGCACTTCCTCTCATATTCAAAAGATATAAGATAAATCAAAAGTTCAAAGTATTCTTGAAAAGTAGGTCAAAGGCCAAGATAAAGTGGATTGTTTTCCTGGGATTTTTCAAAAATATCTAATGACAAGCAGGGCATATGATAAACAGTATATACTCACCTCTCAAAGTTCAAGACTATGCTGTATATTGGCACTATGAAGTATTATTAAAAATGGGTCAAAGATCGAGTTCACCAATCAAGAGGTCGGTAACCCTGTTATTTTACAAAACCGGTTTCCAAGCATAATATAATCGAAATATCAAATCCATACTTCCAACAGTTCTCAATATATAAGGTGTGACATGTACAGATATATGGATATATAGATAGAGAGATACCGCACAATGATCCCTAAGTGTCGCTTTGCTCTGCAGGTGACACAAAAAATACGTGATTGTTGGAAAGAGAACCGCATGTTTCAAGCTCTCAATTGCAACCTACGTAAATTCCAGTCAAAGCGCAGTCTAAATGAAAAACTCTTCATTGCAAACTTAGAGGAGGTCTCTGATAGGCAGTCACTTTTGGAATACACCCATACAGGGTGAGTATTTAGTGTGGTATCAGAAAGGGGAAATTGTGAGTGGAATATGTATCCTATTACCAAGTACCACAATGTTAAATTCAGCTTTAATTAAAAAAAGACAAATTAATAATTCAATCTTTAATCGAGATTTCAAAAATCAGATTTGCCCATCAGACTTTAAACAGGAAATGTGAGTTTTTGCTTTTTATATTTGTCTGTATATTGCCTCTAACTATCATTTCTCGGTGGCATGCACAAGACCCTGAAGTTGACATTTTACACTCTTTTTGTTTAGTTTTAAAAAAAAAGTTCGATCACTACAATTTACTCCTTGAGAAGCTCGTGTATCTAACCTATTTCTTCTATTTCGCTTGATGTTATAAAGCATTGTTTGCATTGTCGATCGGACGAATGGAAAAATCTGTACACAATAATGGCAGAAAATTAGCACCAAAAAAAAAAAAAAAAATAGAAAGAAAGAAAAAGAAACGTCAGTATGCATTCGACTCAATGATCGATTGTATTTGCTGACAAGGTCATTGTATCGAACATAAAACGTGTCAAATGATGACCTTAGACTGTTAACATCCTTGTCTCATCAATTTATTTGTCAATAGCTTGCTTATTTTAGAAATTGTTTGTACGTGGAGCATAATCTTGCGTATCGAACCAACTTGGGGATAAAAAACCCATTTGCAGGTGACAAGGGTATATTGCTACATAAGCAAAGGAAGTTGAAGTCATCACGTTTATCATAAAGTTTTGTTGTTAGGTTACCGTTGACGTCTTTTTCTAGTAAAATATCCAAATATAAAACAAATGTGTCAAACTATGTGGTATCTTTTATTCCAAGTTCACTGGGATATATCTTGTCGACATATGTATGGAAGTAAATATGGTTAAATTATTATACGTATTCGATATATCTAAATGTCAAGCATTATTTAATATCTACTTCATAGTATTCGTGTGTATCATCAGAATGTTGTTTTTTACAAATTAATTCTGCAAGATAAATAATTTTACGAGTTCCATTTTTATTGAAAAAGCTGCTGTCCATGATTTCAAAAAGCCTGGACTTTAATTTATCGTGGGAAATGGTTGCATAAATGTTGAAAAGTCGTATGTTTTGAAGTTATTGATTTTGGAAGAAAATGTGATTTCAAAATTTCTGAAAGTTCAGTTATGTAAAGTTAAACTTGCAATCAGACGATGGTCTCTTCAACTAGCTTTAAGTAAAACTAAACTGAATTTTATTGTCAACCGCTCCCTGCCTTTAGAACTGATAATCAGTTGAAAAAGGTTAATTAATTATTGTAAAATATATTTTTCCCATTCAGCTTGACTGAAGAACTTTTTTTTAATAATTACCTCTAGTATTATTGTATTCACACCCTGATCTCCTGTCACAGTATTGATCAGCAGTACAGTTACATTTACTTCGACACCTAAGTCCATAAGATCCGTAAGGACAAGGTCCTCCT